GTGATACTCCTTTTGATAAAACAATCAAACATGGGGCAATGGTTTATGATGGAGGATTTTTCCCAAGAGGAGCTTATCCTTTATATAACAATACAGAAGAAAAATATATAGCGAGAGGAAGTGAAAGACCCTTAGAAAAGAAAATAGAATTCCAATCAGATCATAAAGCACAAATTCTAAATATTACAACACATGATCCACATACATGGAATAATATAATAGATGTATGGAAAAATACTATAATAGAACATTATATTAGAAATTTTCAAGAAATGGAAGCTTTAGACATGTATAGATACTTAAAAACATTCTTAGGAGAAAGTGAAAAAACTATGTGGTAAGCATTTAAATTAGAAAAGAAAGAAGAATTTGAACAATTAATTAATATGGGAAGTAATTCATATAATTTTGTCAATAAGATACAAATATTAATAACAGAAGCAGACCCAAATTCAGGACATATGAGTATACAAAGAAAAGCTATGAGAAATTTAGAACAACTTAGTCTTTATAAATGGACTAAAGGAAGATATGTTAAATTTTTTTTAAATGAATATCATTATTTAACTTCAATATCATGAAATACTTTTAATCAAGAAATTGGTAATAAACTGTTTCATAAATTACCAGGACTATTAGGATAAGAAATTACAGATAAATGAAATAATTTAGCATCAGTAAAAAAAGAACCAGAAAAACAATGGAAAATAGGACAAAAAATACAACATGTAATAAGATGTCTAGAAGATAAATGTGTAGAATTACAAATTCATTTGTAATAGTAATGAAAATTTATCTAAGACTTGTCCAAAAAGAATAAATATTTATGATAAGAAAAGTACACTAATAGAATGTACTTATGAAGATTTAATACAATTAGATGAATACATTTCAGACAAAGAATCTATTTACAGTATTATATCATTAGAAGATAAAAATTTAGAAGAAAATAGAGAATCTGATTATGAAATAATAGATGAATTCTCTAACATAAGATTACAAGAAGAATCAGAATCAGAAGAAGAACTAAATTTAATGAATAACATAATTTTAGAATGTTTACATAATTGGCAAAAATATAGAGGAGCAGATAATATAGCTTGCTATTTATGCAATTGGTATCCAGTAAGAAAGCTTAGAGCTAAATGTTTAGAATGTTATAAAGAAGCAGGTATAAAATGTTTAGAAGAAAATTTAGTTTTTCTGTTAGTGTGTGTTTTGCATATGTTTATCTTTTATGCTCTCGTGACAGCTGATTGTAGGCGTCTCTTATATAAATTGTTTTAATGTTGACCATTTTTAAAAAAGTTTTGCATGATGCAATTTCTTATTTTGAAAAAAAATAAATAAATAAATATATATATATATATATATATATTCGGGGCTGCATATTACTGCTAGCATACGCATCACATTACTGTTTCCAAGCATGAATGACATATCACTGCTACCATGTCATACATTATTTTCATCACAGCCAGTACGTATGTCGTATTATCATCTTTTTCATTTTATTGTTGACATCACGTTACTTACTTCACTATAGCACTACTGATACACTGAGCTGTGCGAGCACATGATTTACTATAATGCATGATAGACCCTCTGCACATATTTTGGAAAAATGTGATATGTTACACCTTATGAGCATTTGAAGGGGAAAATGGACCCCAAATTTATTTGGTATATGTGCTGTGGATATATTGTATTGTATTACAGGATTGGTTTAGTCCATATTACAGGGGAGATGCTGCCGAAATTTTCAAAGAAAATATGCAGTATATCTTTCGAGGCAATTCATAATTCCTCGCCTATTCGAGATCGATGCATATTTCTCGAGGCAATTCGTAAGTCTTCGCTTATTGGAGCTACCCATCTTTCTGAGGCAATCTGTAAGACCTCGCCTACTTGAAAGTTTATATTTCAAGTTCGACCCGTATATAATAATACGACTCGAACTTGGGGGCTACTGTTACGTCTATTAATTATCACTTCATATTAGGCCATCTTATTGGACCCGAGCCAAGCCCATTAGTGTTGGGCCCCAAAGCCGAGGCGTCACCGAGGCCATAAAAAGTCTAGCTGAAGTGCCTATTACTTTACTCACCTCATACTGGGCTCGAACTTAGGCCCCTTAACCCGCCTTGGCCCATTTCACATCATTTCTCTATATATATGGATTCAATTCACAAGTTAAAGTATTTTCTAAATACTCTAGTCAAGTCCCCAATCTCTCTACTATTGTACTTTATATATCTATCTCCGTCCGGCCGTTGACTTGACCGTCGGAGTGCAAACGGTCGCCGGACCTTTTTTCTCTTCCGACCGCCTTTGCCTCTTGACGGGGGTGCTACATGCGCAAGTTTCGAGGGGACGAAGCTAGGGTGCCTGTTGGAGCCATTTTCGGAGGTCAACAGATGGGGCAGAGAATGGTGCTAACATAGTTCAGTCTCGAGCCAGTTTTCAACAATTTTTCAATGGTGCATCAATAAAAGCAAATGAAAGGAGCAACAGAATAAAGCAAATTCCTCAATATGTGGACTGTCGAGTGCATGATTATCAATAGCAAAGAAGTCGTCTTGAAGTTGCATTGAATCCATAATCTAACATAGATATTCACCTTCCTTTTATTTCAGCTTTGTACAAAATTTGATGAGTTAGTTTTCCATTTGTCCGAAACAATAGAAAGAGGGGTCTGTCTGATGTACATTGTGACTTTGAAATAATAAATAAACGAACAGATCAACTAACCAAAGGAGACAAGTGAATTCTTCAATAGGAGTGGTTGATTTATACCTAAAAAGCATAGTTATCCAATAACACAGAAATTCTATGATCAAAGGATAATAAGAAGACTTCCTGAAACTGTTTGCATGTATTGTTCAAAATTTAACAACATTGATTGATCAATGTATCTGCTCCTATTTTTATTTTCTAATAATTTGATGAATACAGTTTCTAACCAATAAGCAAGAAATATAAAAATGTATACAGCTCACACTACAGAAAAGCAGCAGCAACACCACCAGAAAGCTAAGTTTTATTCTCAAGTTAATCCATACAAACTTAAGTCGATTGCATAAATCTTTATTCGTCATCAGTGCTACATCTAGTCAGAGATCAGTCAAATATTTAGCAACCACATCATATCAATTTTAGTCTACTTTTCCTTCTATTTTGTTCCTCATATAGTATCGGCCTAGTGATTGGAAGGTTTCTTTAGGTTTACACAAGACGTTGCAACCACCTAAATCATCTATTCCTAGATCAAGTTTGGCTGTGCTTTATAGTTTCTTTTTCTAGAAAGTAAGATAAGACCTACTTTCTAAAAAAGTTGTGCGAAAAAAAAAGACCTACTTTCTAAAACAGTTGCATGAAAAAAAATAAAATATAAAAAAAATTCAAGAATCATATTGGACAAAGTAAGTAACTCGGAAGTTTCCTTTACTTTATGCACAAGAAAGCATGCGCTTAGTTAATTTTAAATTCAAGAATCATGTAATGGTCATTTTATAACCATTTTGTCATTTTAACGAACTGACACCCAATGCCATAAAGAATTGTATGGTTTAATAACCTTTAGGCTATAATAGATAAGAAGGTATCTTCCTTCACATGGAATCCTTTTTGACCAACCTCCTCTATTCACCACGGCATCCTTTTCAAGTCTTATTTCCTTACTGATAAGATTGAACCAAAATATCTAAAATGGTCATGTGATTCTCCATGCCATTATGACCCCATCTTCATACTTTATATATTGTCTAATTCTGCCTAAACTAAAACTTCAAATTTCAAAATCTTCGTCTATAGTTCTAAAGATACACTCCTCATAAGGACTCTAGGCTGAAATGTTGGTGCAAGCCTTGTAGCAATATGAAATTCTTGAACTGCTATCCTGCTACTCCTCCAGCATCTCATACTCATGATTGCTACTGCTACATCACACATAGCCTTAATAATGTTAACATATTCAACAGGAACTTGTTTTTGTCTAGCACCCATCAAAATGGAAAATCTAAATCAATAAAAAATATTGTAAAACTAAATAATTTTCTCTTTATTTTTCCATCAATTTTCAAAAATGGTCTCCTTAACAAATGTCCCTAATGCAAAACCAAAAAGTGGTTCTCTAATACCTTTGAGTTACACCTTAATCAGGGCTCAATCAATCTCCCATAATTACATAGTATGACTGATTAGCTTAACACCCTATACTTATACAACCTTCAATACTAGTAATCTCTAAATAAGTTTTTAATACCCTATCTTCCACACATTTATTTATTTAGTCATTTTTTATGGGTAAAGACAACATATTAAAAAGGCCAAGATGCAAGCAAAACCTTACAAAATTCAATGAAGTCAAGGAAATAAAAGCAATCAAGCGTCAAAAGAATCTAGTTATTTAGGCATATGCTGCTGTGAAGCCTATATTGTCTCGAAGCAGAAGTATGGCATATTTTGCAAGAATTATAACATCCCTTAGCTTATATATTTCCCAGCTAGATTGATTACTCAACGAGGAATATTTCCTTGTGTGTGTGAGAGAGCAGGAGAGAGAATTTTCATATAATAATACTGGGTTATGGCTTTTCTGTGCCTTGTATTATCACATTAAGCAGGAGGTAATAGCTTGGTACAGTGAATCAGTTCAAGCAACTTTTGAAATTTCAAGTACACACCAAATGTGCTCCTTCAAACCAACTCACTAGAAACTAAATGACCAAATGGTCTATACTTCCCTTTTCATCTCAAGTTTTAGCTGTGCCATACTTGGACAAAATGTTAGGTTTTCTGTTAAGTATCTAAAAGAGAACAGTATCAGGAATCCACCCTTCAGTGTGTTAGATCTATATCACTTATTGCAAATCATCATCAGAGCACCAAAATTGCAATAACAACAATGGAAAAGATGTGTCAGTGAACAGAGAATATAAATTGTCTCTCACAAATTCAAAGTGTACGAAAATCAAGGATTGAAAAACTCTAATCATTACCTTCCCAGTAATCATTGTATACATATTGAGCACATCCAAAACAGTCGACTCAAAGTGAGTTGTCGCGTCATAACTCTGTTGCATAGCAAAACAAGTGGATCAATGTTAGGAAAGCATGATAAAAGAAGGAATTTGCAAAATGGCGTTTGAAAGAAACTCACTGTGGATACAAAACAATTGTCAAGAGAGGGCTCGTTGACAGGTTCATATCTGTCATAGGTCTCAAAGAAGATCTCATCTGCTGGTCCTAGAAGATCGATCCCCGGCTTCAGTTCAATCTCAGGTTGATCAGTCTCTGCCTCTGTGGAGACAAATGCAATAAATTTCCCTTTCGGAGCAACATTATGAGAATTAGAACAACAAAACAGATACCTGCAGAGACAACAGTTCGAAACATGAGATATTAGAATGTTTACACATCTGAAATGTTAGGTATTGCTGATCACAAACTATAACAAAAAATCAAATGAAAACAGCTTGCACAAAAAGTAAAATGAAATAAAAATCTCTCAACCCAAGCACAGAACTAGATTTGACCTGTGGCGTGATACTCACTGAGACTTGTTGCCCTCCATGAATCAATTGGTTGACGACTCAATTCAGTGCAAACCAGTTAATCAAAACAAAGTCCTAATCAACCTATTATCTACTGAACAGGAGGAGGAAGATTTCATATACTAAAAAGCAGTAATTTCGATGGAATCACAACATCTTTCTTGGAAGTCTTATGTTTTTTAGAGTAAGCAATGCTGTAATATCAACTAATTATCCAGACAATGAATTTTTGTTCCACGTGGCAGTGACCATGAAACATTTTCTAACGAATTTCACAAATAAACTGCTCGCTGAGCAATTACTTTCTGCCTAACAAAAGAACTATTACATATGTATATCAGAACCAAACTGTATATATCTGCCTTACTGTCATTCAAGAACTAAATTTAGACATCCTTATTCGGAAAGGTAAGGTGAGTACTAACATGTCTGATTTGCGATCCAACTGCTTTTGAGGCAGAATAACCTGCACTGAGTGAGAATTGTTGGTATTTGGGATAGGGTGGCTCATAATTGCAATAGCCCTTGCTACTTTGCCAACCTTCCTAACCTGCAAAAGCATGCCTCACATTAATGTTTCCCATGTCCAGGTCTAAGGTGTTTCTGAGTTTCAACAAATAGTTTGGCTTTCAGAATCTAAACCCAGCTCTGGAATAAGGACCCTGGTTGCAGAACATGCATTTATAACATATTCCACAAGCACTGAACACCAACAATGCTTGTGCAGTCCTAAAGTACTCATAAATGAAGATAATGGCACGGAAGTGACTCCTGACAAAATCATGGATCAAATGACGATGTATTGAAGTCCCAAATAACGAAGAGAATTACCTTGTTAGGCAAGTAAGAAGGATCACATACGACTTTCTTACACTTAGCAGTCTCCCGCTCTGAAGTCACGCCAATAACCTTGCCTTCTTCATCAAACTCTACCTGGCATGAACACAACTTTAAATCAGTGGTTATAATAACGGAAGCAAGAAAAAGATGAGAATGGCGGCAAAAAATAGGAATAAAATAACGACGATAACTATTAACATAATATTGCAAGAAAATTGTAAGAAATGTAGTAACATCAAAACCAAAAATAGTTAGTAAGACCAACAACACAAGTAACAGCTAAGATAAATAATAAAACAAGAATGCTGAATTCTTCTCCTTGTTGTATATGCGTTCCTAAACACCTTCTCCTTATTTCCTCGGCCTCAAGTGAATAGATAACAAAAGTTACAGAGATTGCCAAAAAAAAAAAAAGAAAAAAAGAAAAAAGAGAGAGATAACAATTCCTTTCTCAATTTTGATTTCTTTGTAACTTTTCTCTATATTTTTGTTGTCTTTCTTTCATCGTATTTCCTTTTTCGTTTTAATTTTTGTCTCTCTGTGTGTATTGGGGGAGGTGTGTCATGATGCCAGTACCTTGCATTCAGGTTTATTCAACATGTAGGTCCCACCGTACACAGCGCTTAGACGAGCAAATGCCTAATAACATAGGAGTTAAAGTAAGTACAAATAAGAACAAGATCAAAAATTTAAATTAGCAAAACTCCTAATGCAAACGTGAGAGAGAGAGAGAGAAGAAAATAGAAGACAGGAGGAGGAAAGAGTAGAGAAATAAATAAGTATGCTACAACTGGCTGGTAAATAGTTATTGAAGAAAAATGCAGACCTGGGGAAGCTCTCCCAGGCCATACAAAGGATAGATATATGGAGATCCTCCTGCAAAACGTGCTAGAGATTCCGCATAAAGCTGTCACATGAACACAAGTAGTTTTTTCAGAAAGCAATAAAAGAAGTCCACACACTTCTGTATCTATTCAAGAATCCCAAAGAAAAAAACCAAAATCAGAACCACAAAATGAAAAGAGAAAAAGTGGAGACTCAATTGGGAAAAAAACCTTCATTCTCTTCACAGTATCCAAAGCAGGTTCGTCTAGGTAGTAGTCATCTCTGTGGAGAGCCAATGCATGACCAATAAAGTCGACAGTGTTGTCACCAAGACCATACTTTCTGTCAGAAATTCAGAATATTATAAGCAACAAATATATATAAAACTAACCAACGTGTCTCTGTTTTAGATACATCTCTTACTCGTGGATACCTGCTTTATTTCAAAAGCAGGTTATATGTAACATTCATCCAACAAAACATTAACTGACAGCATTATTCAATGACAATATCATTGCTTTCTGTTAGGATATAAGATTTACTTTAAAGACAAGTTGTATGCATTACACGCGTAGATGAAATATCTTACCGAAAACAAAATTTTTATTTGAAGGAACACCCAAACAGAGTAACAATAAAAATGGCAGCTCATGTTATTTGGAGATTACTTGGCTCCGGTTTAATAAACTTCCATGTAATAACTCCGTATAAATGTAGAACATTTTTTCAACCCTGAATAAAGGATCTTTCCCCTTCAATTCTTCAAGGTGAACAAAAATGATTATATGTGTGCCTCTCCCTACTCTTAGTACTTGTATCTGTTACCATTCACCCTCTATCTCTTTTTCATGGTTAATATCTGAAGGATAAACTTTTCTCCCTGAAGTTTGTCTCACAAAAGCTACAGCATGAGGTCAATAACCAAGAATCAGATGCTCCATGTGAAACGCCCACATTATACACATTTCACTAGAAATAAGAAATAAGCGGAGACTCAATAGTAAATTAGAAATGCAAGAACATCATTTTCATAAAGTTCGTCGCGTGTTATGTTTTAAAACCAAAGAAAATGTAAAAGTAACACCATACACAATGAGCTCTCTAGTCGTCACTCTCGTCAAATCCAGTCCTTCGTGTGTTTCGGGATTCTTTTCATCATAATCTTGGACAAACTTGATGAACTTACTAGCCCGGCGCTTCTCAAATAAACCCATGAGAGGAGATTTAAGGGCCTCCATGTCAGTTGCTGGCACCTTGTGAACCTAATCCATAAAGTTACCACAAAATCAGGCGAGTTTTGACGTTGATGGCTGAAGTTAAACCGAAATTCAACATCTAGTCAATCATATACCTTCCCTTTGTTGTACACATAGCTGCCATCAACAGCTTTGAAGTGCAAATATTTAGTTACATCAGTATGAATAAGGACCCGTACAAGAGCACCATTTGCCATGATAAACTGAAAATATAAATGGCCAAAATCCATGAATAATAAGAAAAAATGAAAATTACTGAAGAGCATCCAAAATGTAAGGGAACGGAAACCTTAGGAATCATGTCAACATTATAATCTCTACTAGAACCCAAGTGAGCTGGAGGCTTATCACTTCCTCTAAACCTTTTCCAGAGCTGTAAATTGTCAATCCCAGCAAAAAAATCAGAACAAAAATGGCACCACACTTAATAGAGAGAGAAAGAGAGGAGGGAAATGAAAGAACACCTGAACAAGATAGAGTGAAGTTGATTCTCCACCATAATAGTCATTCCTGTCCATATGAAGGACCTGTTTAGCGAGGGAAAAGTTCAAGTTAGAGGACTGCTAGAATAAATATACTAGCCAAAAGCAAATGACACAAAATCAAAGAAATATCTTAGAATTTTAAATGATACAAAATCAAAGAAATATCTTAGAATTTTAAGTAGACATGAGCAAAAATGAGTTAAAGCCTAAAGCTTTTGAGTTCCATAATTATCTAGCAGATATGATACAAAATCAAAAAAATATCTTAGAATTTTAAGTATTGTGCAAGGATGAGTTAAAGCCTAAAGCTTTTGAGTTACATAATTATGTAGCAGGTATCCCTACAGTAACATAAAAATTATAGACAACTTTCACAGAATCTAGCTTATGGTATAATCGCTTCCACTCTTGTGGAAATGAAATGTCATTATTAGAATAAAGGCAGCACCATATGCAGCGGACAGCACTCAGATCGAAGTAAAGTATATTACAAGGAAAAAAAAATCAAGTCAAGTTAATGAGATCAGGGGGCACAGAGGGGAAAGTACTAAAGCAATTTTTAGCACAATGATACAGTAAAATATTCATAACTGGTTCAATATGCCAGCTAAACAACTGGAATAGTCAACAATTTCAGATCAAAACCAAAATATCTTTTGTTCCCGAAATAAAACTCTTCTTGAAAACATTCAACGTAATATATACCATCCAAATCTCCAGATTCTCGTACTTCCAGAATTGAAAGTAGTTATATGAAACTTCAATTAGATTGATATCCCACCACAGCATTACTAACACAGTACATTGACATGACCACTCACACTTGCCCAAAAATAATTCCTCCAACAAATGATAAGATATCAATAGGCAATAGCTTTATAATGTAAATACCTTAAATATGTTACTGTGAGCAGGAATGCAAGTACAAATAAAACTTTATACTCAAACCATTGCCATGAAAGAGAATGCTCAACATAAAAATAAATATAAAAATCTTTTAAATTTCACCTGAATGCTCCAGATAGGTATAAAAACCAAAAGCAAGACTGAAAAAAAAAAAAAAAAGAAGAATTCATTTTATGAATGTCACCAGGTCTTGCACTGCTAATTACATACATCAGTCCAGTCGTGCAAGAAAAGATAGAAAACATATCTTTCTTCTAAGTTAACTCAATAAAAAGTTATCTTCAGGATATAATTTGCTTAAATCTAATCATAAGTCATATTTTTACAGGAGATTACCAATCATGTGATGGAATTTATTAAATCTTACTGCTCAAGAATTGCCATTTACTTCTGAACATTAAACATGTAACAAATAAGTATATAAAGAAAAATGTAAGACATTTTCCCAGAATCCTAAAAACCAATAAGTTTAGGGAAGAGACAGAAATTCCTCGTCTTAAAAGAGGGAGTTATGTTCAATTATTCCCCCATAACAATCCTAATGAGAGTTCCTGATCATGGTTCTGGAATTTCCTCCCACTATTCTGACAGCCAATGACAAACTAGCTCACATCATTGAGTAACTCCTTTCATGAGATACAAGCTTTTCACGGTCTACTATCAGGTATGCAAAAGTGAGATATGGTCTATGACAATGGCGGAACCAAGATCATGAGTGAGCATGGGAGGCCATTGACCATTGATCGCCGACCGCAATAAAAACAAAATATATTGATTACTTTGCTAAAACTGAATGTATATAATTCCGCTTTATTTAATATTAATATTCACCAAATGTCATAGTGGCCAAGTTTTGCATAATTCAAAATGGGAGCACAAGTTCGAATCTTTCCAATTGTATTAAAACTTCTAAAACTGAACATATATAATTATGTTATATTTAATGTTAAAGTTCATCAAATACCATAATAGTCAAGCTTTTTCATAATCCAAATGAGAGCACACAAGTTCGAATCCTACCAATTACATTTGTTTTGGTAAAAAATGTTGAACTAAAATAATTGCACAAAAAATTTCTTCAATAGAGATTCGATCCCAAGACTTCCGGTTGAGAAATGGAAGCTCTAACCAACTGAGCTACAAGAGATGTTTGAAAACAAAAGAAATTACCAAATATATTATGCACACAATTTATCCATTGATACCAAAAAAATTATTTCGGGGAATCCAGCCCGCGTGGCTGCAGGTGCTCATTGGGTGCTGGATCCATTGGTGGTATACAATCAGACAACTTAATCCCCTGCTTATTCCCTTATATTACTTAGTAAAACAAGCTTTCTCGCTAGTCGCTCACGATTTCAAAGTGAAACAATTTTCTACTTCTTTCCTTTCATTTTATCCTCTCCCAAAATTTAAGCTTCCAAATTATGAGCATTGAACAATGCAAATTTTTTTAAGGAATTGGAGAAAAATTGAAATATGCATAACTATTGTGAATGAAAACAAACTCACCTCTTTATGGCTTATCTAAAATGGAAAAATTTATTTCAACAATAAACATAAATTTCATTAATCATGTGGATAAAAGTATCTTCTAATCTTCAAATGGGAAAAGTGAAGTCGAGGATGCAATACATATTTAAAACGAGGATAACTAAAGATAATGAATGCCCTTGAACAACTAAACTCATAATGATGTAGGACAATCCTATTGTAAATAGGATAAATGTTAGATATTTATAATAAGATATTTAGTTGTAAAGGGTTTTATCTTTTATTTTTATTTTTATTTTAGAATAGGATTACTAATTTTCTTGTATAGTTGTGATAGGACTTTCTTATTTGATTAGGACTATAGTTTCAATTTCATAGTATTAGCAGAAGTAGGGGGATAATCTTGCCTATAAATATAGAAGCATTGTACACTTTTTTCATAACAATCAATTATTATTTAATATATATAAAACAAATTGTTCCAATAATCGTTCTTATTTACTACATACTTCTTATTGCAAGAATTTTACAAACGCCGCCGCACCAAATTTATATTAGAGCAAGGTTTACTTTTGGTTGAGGCTACTTGTGGTGGTAGTGGCACGCACCTTAGCGACGATGATTGAAGGATTGCAAAGCCAACCTTGACTTATAATTTGGAATAAAGGATGGATATGCTTGAAGACGCATCTTACAAGAATTGCAGATTTTAACTACTATGAAAATTGGTTGTCTCAACAAGCATAATATACAGCAACATATGGCTAGAGAATTTTCCCGAGTCCCAGCCAAGTTTGAATACACACAAGTTATCAAAGATTTTTCCTACAACAAAACTGGAGGACGATTTTTTTCAAGTGAGAAAGATTGATGTAGATCAATCCTATTGTAAATAGGATAAAAGTTGGATATTTATAATAAGATATCTAGTTGTGATATATTTTATCCTTTCATTCTTATTTTTAGTTTAGAATAGGATTTCTAGTTTTCTTGTATAGTTGTGATATGATTTTTATTTTTTATTTGATTAGGACTATAGTTTCAATTTCTTAGTAGTAATTACAGAGGCACTGTACACTTTTTTATAACAATCAATTATTATCCAACTAATCCTCAGGAATGCATAAGAATGATAAAAACATAGATCTACTGATAAGGTTCTTTCTCTTTTGCTTCAAATATCCTATTGTTTCTCTCTATCCATGTCACCTGGAAAATAGCCGAAACTATAAACTTCCACATGATCACACCCTTTTTACCCTTACTGAACACGGAAGCCATTTGATCAGTCCATGTATTCTGAACTTAACAAATTCCAATTTTAAATGGATCATTAGATTGAATGGAAGTATTTCCCATAAGTTAGATTTTTAGCATAAAAAAGAACCAAGGAAATGGAAATGTTATGTTACTTATTGTAGGCCTTGGACCCGACACAAGTGAAGATACATGGTTTGTAAGCATTAATCAACTAAATAGACATAAATACTAATACGATATCATATGAAAACATTGAAATGATCCATAAATCTCGATATGCTAAGTAAATGAATAAGTAGTAAATAAATACAAAGTTTCACTTAAAAATGAAAAACAGAAGCAAAGAACACCTTAAGGCCATCGACGGAGAGTAGACCGCTGAGGATGCATTCCTTGAGACCAGTCCCCAGCACTATCACATCGTACTCTTCATCCATCTTTCCTTAAATCAATTCTTTGATGGATGGAATTGATTGACTGATGATCAAATAAAATTGAAAGAATATAAACAAAGATCAACCGTATAAGAGAAGAAATTAATATGGTTTTTTAGGTGAGACAGAGTAAGAAGCTTGAATATATGGAGTGTTTGATTACTATTTTTTTTATGGAAAACATTTTTCAACTTTTGAAAATATGTCTAATTTTCCTTTTTTTAAGGAAAATATTTTTCTTGGGTAGATGTGATTTTTATTTTCCACAAAAGATGAAAAATATTTTCTTTTCTAGATAATATTTTTTATGTCAATCAAACACACTCTAAATAATTATTTTCAATTTTACCCTTATAAAACGATTATTTTCAAATTTTCGTTCAATTTTATTTGCTCTAAAACAAATTCAAAAGATTAAATGCTAAAAAACATTGATTTAATGAAAAACAAAAAAATATTAAAATTAAGATATAATATGTAAATGCAATAACTTAATATATATATTATTTGACATGTCGTGTGTGCGTTCTACTTTTTCAAGAAATCGCGTGTGTGACTTATATGCATACGTGTGTCCTTATTTGTGCATGTGCTTCTTAGAAAATTTGCTCATAAATCTTTTTTCTAAAAATTTGCTTACTTTTTGGGACTCTTATACTTCATGTGCTTATCAATTGCATACACACGAGTATAAAATATTGGCTTAGCATTGATACTTTTTGATTTATATGCTTCTCTTTCATTTATTGTGAGCTAGAAGAAAGTTGGGACTTAACCTTCTAGATAAGTGTATTTTGCCCAATTATAAATCCCAGTGATTGCCCTACTTACGAAATTAAAATCAGTGCCTTCAAAATTGGCTTGAGCAAGTCCCCCCCTTTACCACTAGGCGATAGCCCGGGTTAAAATCCAGAATCGCGGTCAGATTTGTAACATTTCGAAATTTTTTTAAGAAAATAAATAAATTATTATATTATTTTGAAAGTGAGGGATTAAGGTGAAATAAATATTAATATATTATATATTTGGGGTCAAATAATTGGATTTTGATAAAGTAATGATATGTATATCAATATTAGACTCATTTCAAAGGTCGTAATTAATTAGAAGTCTATGACTCGAGAAAAGTTATATTGGATAAGAACGTATTAAGTTATACCCAATTGAAAGAAAACAAGATAAATATAATTTTATATAGTTTTAACCCATTTTGAATTTAATTGATTGGCTACCACATTTTTATTGGATAGGAATGGTAGTTCTTTTAGATGAAATAAAATAATGATAAAGTACAATTTTTTTATGATACGTGCCACATTGGATTTGACTTTATCAAATCAAAGTTTTGGTTTATCTACTACTCTAGCCTACACCTATAAATACTAGGCAAGGATTTCATATTTTACCACACCAAAAAATATGAACACGTGAAAGAGAGAGAAGAAAGAAAGAGAGAGAGAGAGAGAAAGAGGAAAGAGTGTGTGAAAACAGAAATTTGTCATACATCAACTATCACTGTCGATCAATAAATCATTCACAGAGTAGAGGAAGGAATTTTGGAACGTGCATTCAAATATTTTTCGTGTACATTTCGATAACAGGTAAGATACATTTATGTGCAAAGTGTTTACGTTTCCTTATGCTCTTAAATGCGATTAAATATACATGGAATGCTAGTGGACCTTCGGGTTCTAGAGAAAGAGATATGAAATTTCTACATGAAATTTAAGAGGACCTAAGATGGGTGTGTCGCTTGGTCACCGATATACTCCATAAGAGAAGAGCGGTATGAAGTGTATTATTTATTTGTTATATACCTGTGTATGGGAATTTGCACGTATCTTACTGGGTATTTTTAATACTCACTCTTACATTAATTTTTCAGATTAGTTCGGGTCGATTGGAACAGTGGAGAATTGGTGATGCGGACTGCCAAGTGGATAAAGAATAGAGAAAAAGAAATAAGTTTGCCATTTTAAATTTAGCAATTTGTTTATTTTAATTTAGAACGCATTATTTGAATTACTTAGGAGTTTATGTTTATGGTTAGATACGCTTTCAATAATTTTAATTTAAACGTTACAATTATTTGTTTATTGAAGAATTTTATATAGTTCCGCATTTTTTTTTAATTAAAGAAAAATGAGTTTTCGTAACGTTCCGGTGTTTAATGTAAATGAAAGAAAAAATTGGGGCGTTACAAGATTCCTTTTACGTTCCAAATTCTACATGGAAACCACTTTCTTACACGACTTTTGACCCTAATTTTATCTCTATAAATACAAAATATGGGCAACCAATTATGGGGGACCTGTCATACATCTCTCATATACATAATATACTCTAATATCCCATCAATTAATACGCAAGGAAATTCATATTTGTGGAAAATTACAATTGTGACATTGCAAGAAGATTATCGAGAAAACTTCATACCTGAAAGTGCGCGCAAGGATAGGTAGGAAAACTTAAAGAGATATCAAGAACTCATTGAAAATATTCTAGAATTCCATATTTCTCTACAATTATTTGATTCCCAGGTGATGTTTATTCAACTTAGAATGATGTGTTGTAATTTCAATATGTCTGGCTAGATTTTCATATTTCTAGAATGAGATGAACCCTTGTTATAAAGTTTTTGGTTTGAATAATTAGATTAACGTTAATTTGTTTGAATGTTTAGATGGTTATTATGGTTTTTTTCTTTTTTTCTTTTTTTTTTTTTGCTTTTCAATTACTTGCCCATTAATTGAATTGTTTATGAGTTTTATTGTTATCGAGAGAGATAATAAGATCATTGGCACATAGTAATAGGCATTGTGTGGTTCGATAAAGAATAGAGATATACCTCTATACTTCACATGGTTCTTAAAGATGTTCTAACTTATTTAATGTATTTATCATGTTTATATTTGCATTCAAATATTTTTCGTGTACATTTCGATAACAGGTAAGATACATTTATGTGCAAAGTGTTTACGTTTCCTTATGCTCTTAAATGCGATTAAATATACATGGAATGCTAGTGGACCTTCGGGTTCTAGAGAAAGAGATATGAAATTTCTACATGAAATCAAAGGAAAGCTTTGCAAAGTTTAAATGCTTCTTGAGCACGTTCCAAGAAAAGGGGAGAAAAAGAAAGTACCATGGCATCTTGTTTTGCTCCGAACAATTTAACTTGGAAACTGCCTTCTGTGATGACTTCTGGCCCTGCGTTTTTTTGTGCAACAAAGTACTTATATTATCCCATTAGTAGGTCGTATTTTTGGATAAGACATACTCCTAAATCTGACCTCCTCTATTCTGATTTTTTCTTATATTAAAGTTTCTGTTTGGTAGGCCTTGCTTGCATGTCCATTCTGTTTATTACGACATTTATAATGGCACTTGTCAATGTCTTTATCTGGCGAAGAAGTGTCTTACTTGCTGCTACATTTCTCTTGTTCTTTTGATTTATTGAAGCCATTTACCTATCAGCTACATTCATAAAACTTCCTTGGGGAGGATGGGTGTTGCTTGTGCTATCCATGATCTTTATATTTGTCATGCTTGTCTGGCATTACAGAACTTGCGAGAACTACAACTTCAATCTACACAATAAAGTGCCACTAAAATGGCTTATCGGTCTAGGCCCCAGCTTTGGATTGTCCATATGCCTGCTATAGGTCTCATATACTCAGAATTGGCAACTAGATACCCGCTATATTCTAACACTGTGCAACAAATCTTCATGTTTTTAACAATATTTTGGTGTTTTTTTTTATGTAAAATATGATCCAGTGCTCTTTGTCTCCCCAGAGGAATGCTTCCTCGTTGGCTTCATTTTCCCAAGACCCTATCACATGTATCAGGTGCATTGTGAGGTATGGGTGAAGGACATACAACGAGATGATGGGAACTTTGAGAATTAACTCATTCAAAAAGTAGCCGAGTTTGTCCAACTCATTGCTGTAGATCCTCTGTTAGTTCTACTCCAACACTGCATCATTTGATGGGAGGATGGCTGTCATTGTTGGGAATTTACTTATTATTCGCAGCGAAAAATAAAACAGATTCCAATTCCCATCAAGGATCTACTTTGTGTTTAGATAGAAATTGTTATAAAAGTTATGTCTTTTTCTAGATATGCGAACTCCTTTACTTTTCCTTTGTTCCAGCAACTTTGATCTGCCACCCACAGTGGTCCAATTGTCTAGCCTCTAATGAAATTTCACACAGAGAATAAGATTGTAGGGAATCGGGGTTTTCTCCTTCCTATGCTAGCAAGAATGAAAAATCTCTACAAATTGAAAATCCTAGCAACTTATTTAAACAAGCCCAAATAGGCTTAGTCTGACCCGATCCAATATTTAATTAACTCATTTAATTAAATTCGGGCCTATAAATAAGCAACCCAATTAAAATTGGATAAATTAATTAATTGACAAATCATCTCATATGAAACATCTAGTTTCCTACATAGCATCGCATACATGATAGATCCTATCGCTAAAGCATAAGGGATCTTATCCATGTGATTCATCTCATCTTGTGTTTTAGGACACATATCTTTCAAAAGGTAAATCACATGTGACATAGGACACAAACCTCTCTTGGACTCTTCCATGTTAAATCTTCTCAAAATTTTGTTTATGTACGAAGATTAGGATAAGTCAAGCAATATTTTAGATCTATCACTATAGATCTTGATTTCCAAGATATACGCTGCTTCTCCCATATCTTTCATGGAAAAAAATCTTGACAGCCATAATTTTACCAATAGAAGCATTGTGATGTCTTTCCCATTAATAATATGTCATCGACATATAATATCAGGAATACAACTGTGCTCCCACTTATTTTGTTGTAAACACACAGTTCATCTTCATTTTTGATAAAATCAAAATTTTTAATTGTCTCATCAAAATGAAAATTCTACTACTAGAAGCTTGTTTTAATCCATAAATGGATCGATTAAACTTACATACCTTGTTAGCTTCTTTGGATTCAAAACCTTCAGATTGTGTCATGTACAACTTCACTTGTAAGTTTTCATTAAGGAAAGTAGTTTTGACATCCATTTGCCATATCTCATAATAATGGTGTATAGCAATTGCAAGTAAAATTCGAATGGACTTCAGCATGACTACGGGCAAATT